GAGAGAGAGAGAGAGAGAGAGAGAGAGAGAGAGAAAGAGAGCGTTACCTATGCTTCGAGGCAATTGCTTTGTGTTACGGTGGTGCAGGTTGCAGTTTCCTCCAATTTTGATGGCAAGTACTATGTTGGAGAGCTCTCGCCCCTACAGGTTCAAGCACATAGGTTGCTTTGCTACACTTGGGTATCCCGTTTGCCGTGGAAGTGGTCAGCAAGGGACTCCTGACCCGTAAACAAATGAACCCAGTGGGTCAGACGGCCACATTGTGCAAGGCTGACCGCATTCTCACTCAGTTTCCATATGACATTTTCCACCCGTCTCTGAACGTAATTGCGGTCAGCTACGTCAAGATCTAACTGTGATTGGGATAGCATAGGTCCAAGGAAGTCGCAGTTTTTGCATGTCCTGGCTGTTTGTACAGTGAGAATGGTCAGCGCTTTGCGTTCTCCGATGCGAGAGGCAGGCTGATAAACTGCTGCATCTTTCTTCTTTTCTCGATATTCGTGATCTTTGGCGTCCAACGCTCCTTTACTCTCAGGTTCTCGACGGAGAACAAGAACTCACGCCCATGCAGTTTCATAGCTTAGATTCGGAAATGTTCAGTTCTATAGTTACAGTACCCCATGCCCTTCATCCCATTAGCTTGAGTGGTACGTCCGAATTCCAATGCATGAACTGCTGATAAACAGGCTTCAGTTCAAATCCTGCTCGAATTCTTATCTTACGGTAAGTCAAGCGAACAGGTACCTGTGGGCTGACAATTGTCGGTCGCCCGACGTCTGCTCCTGCAGCGAATTTCACAGAGAACGAGATGCTGTCAGATTGGACCCCATTTTTTTTTTTAATTATTTTTTTAAAGGCTAATTCTTTTAAGCCCAACCAATTCAATTACCTGTCAAATCTGGACAGGAGAGCCTTTCATGCCTTTTTTATTGTCATTATAGTATTACGGGGAACCCCGTAGCAGCCACATCTGTAATCAAGCCTCCAACGAGGGAACATGTGAGAGCTGCACCCACCAGCAGGTGCGATACCTGCTACAGCAGGTCGGCGATACCGGCCAGGGGTCAGCCGGTAGCATCAGGACCGAGCTTCTTCGATGGGCCAGTCACTGTGCCTCCCCTCCGGTCCCCTCCCCCTATGAACATCAGCAGTCTCTGCTCAATGCCACTCGGGGGGACCAACGGCATATCGGCTTCTACTAGCAAGCCACATTAAAATTTTAATAAAGACGACCATCACTTCTGGCCATGCGGAACGGTTGATACACCCTTGAGCTGTTGAAACAACGATCTGAATTCGGGCAAAATTCCTTGGACTTCAGTCGAGAGTTTTGTCGAAGACTTTTGTCGTCAGATTCCAGACCAGGATGTACAAGGCCTCGCTTTCAAAGAATTATGGTAAGATGCGTACACTTCAGACAAGACTGGCGCAAAGTTTACACGTCAGATTGTTAGCCGTTCGACGTGTCACTATGGACACCTCTTTAATCTGAGTTTGAATCCCAAGAAGTACATGAATCACGGAAAGGAAAAAAAAAGGTGCGTAAGTTTAAAAACGAGTGCGTCGGGTAGTTTCACAGCAAAAATAATGGGGGAGGGGGGTGCAAGTTTCTTCTTTGCAAAAAATATCTCTCTGATTGCAGCGTTAGAGGATCGGTAGTTTCGCAGCAACATAGATTGGGAAAAGTCATAAAACCTCCCCGCGACGAAACCTTTGTATCCATGTGGCCCCCAAACCGGGGGAAACGTGCCCCAGGCCCCCAGGTCCCAAAATGCCTTTTGGTGTCATTTTTGCAGCTTGGCTGGGCGGGTAATGGCCGCTGTGTAAAAATGGCAGGAAAGTGTTTTGCAGGGTGCAAAAATGATGTCGAAAGTGGTTTGGGGGCGTGCAGCACCTTTTTCCTCGTTTGGGGGGAAATGGATACAAAGGTTTCGTCGCGGGGCGGGGAGGTTTTATTACTTTTCCCTAATATATTTGTGGGCGGGGTCCCACTTTCCTTGCAAAATTACATCTTTCGGACCCCTAAACCATTTCTGCTGCCAGACTTCAAAAGCACTCTATTTCTGCACTTACCCCAAGAAAGAAAGAAAGGCCAAGCAAAGGCCAAGTACACAAATACGGGAAAAGTTATAAAACCTCCCGGGGGTCATTTTCTGCCCCTTTGGGGGAACTGAATTTTATCTGAATACACAAAGTTTTTGTTTTTGCCCCCTTGGGGAAACTGAATACAAACGTTTTGTCGCCAGAAAGGTTTTATAACTTTTACCCACAAATATGTTGGCCCTGCCCTTTGAAAAAAGCCATGCATATGCTTTGGAAGTTTGGATTTAAAAAAAAAAAAAAAAAACTTCTGTTTCTCTTACCTTCCACTACCTACTCCTAAGACTATCTAGAGGGGACCCCTGCAAGCATAGTTTCCTCTCTCTGTGAAGGGGAGATTTCATGTTGCCCCTTGCCCCTAATGGTTAGGGTATAGGGTTGGGGCCGCCAGTGGGGGTCTGGCTAACACAAAGACCGAGACCTGCCAGTAGCTGTGCCTCCCTTTCTCATCGTCCCCCACCCTTCATCGAGTAGCAGCAGAGGAGCTTACATTGGCATCCACCAGAGCAGTACGGCCCGTATGAACGGACGGACGCCCGTACGGCCGGGGCCAAGTCCCACTTGGTCCCGTGCTTCATTTCTGGCCGTCGATCTTCGTAATCTACGGTCAGCAATCAAGGATTGGGGTAAGTGGGACCTGGCCCCCATACCTCGTCCGAACCGGCCAAGTTTAAAGCGATGTCGAGAGAAAGGGTGCTTTCGACGTTCTCAAGAACAGCTACTAGGAGGAGAAGAGAGGTGCCGAAATTGCGACAAATGGAAACTGACCAAGTGGGAATACGATCAATCAATAGCAAAACACAAGTGAGATGCACGCTTTCAATATAATTTCAAAGTCAAGTTCTCATTAGCGAAAACTTCATTCAGCATCGCACAGAGACTCAGAGAGTGAAACATGGCGGGAAAGTGTTTTCCAGGGCGCAAATATAACGCCCAAAGTGATTTCGGGGCCTGCGCATCTTTTTCCCCGTTTGGGGGGGAAATCGATACAAAGGTTGCTTCGCGGGGAGGTTTTATGACTTTTCCCAGACACCTTCAACTACTCTGCTTCGTCTTTTCTTCTCCGTCGCTCTCTCTCTCTCTCTCTCTCTCTCTCTCTCTCTCTCTCTCTCTCTCTCTCTCGCCACACACACACCCACGCTTACGCACTGCTCTCTACGCCGCATTGGTATTCAGCAGTGCACAGACGTACCTCACAGGAGTACGTCACCTGGGGGGGGTGGGAGAGAGAGAGAGAGAGAGAGAGAGAGAGAGAGAGAGAGAGAGAGAGAGAGAGAGAGAGAGAGAGAGGGAGGTAGTCTAAGACTGCGAGCAGTTGATATCGACGTTGGCGATGACAGGATACGGTTCCCTCACAGCAAGCTCAAGTACCAAACCTTCCACCCGCAGTGATAACGTCGAACTGAATAATCGAGCAACGACCAAAACAGCAAACGCGAAAAGAGATCCAGGAACGACCAAAACCACAAAAACGAAAAGGTCCTTCGGGACATCCGTTAAAAGGATTGGAACGATACAAAGAGAGAGAAAAGGGTAAATTAGCAAATGGCCCCTGCGCTTTCAAGGATGACACGCATAAATCGAGAAAAGGGTAAATTAGCAAATGGCCCCTGCGCTTTCAAGGATGACACGCATAAATCGAGAAATGGCCCCTGAAGTGCAATTACAAACTGTTTTCGTGACTGCGCTCGTAAGATCGGGGAACGATAGCGTATAACGCTCGTAAGATCGGGGAAAGATTCTACTGAGGGTTTCTACTGAGGGAATTTCCGATTTTGCTGTGCTTTTCGCTTCAAGTTGTTGTTGTGATCCGCGACGTAGAGAAGTAGCAGTCGCGCGCGCAAAGAGACTCTCATACCAGTCTCAAGACTCTCAACAAAGCGAACGGTTAAAAAAAAGAAGGCATTGCCAATTAAAAAAAAATAAAAATGAACATACTAGGGAAACGTTTCGCAAGAAACGAATCAAAGGTAGTCGTAGTAGACGAAAAGGGACATACCATTTTTTTCTCAAATTCTCATTAAATTTGTGGTGCTCGAAAAGTACTTAAAACCCTTCCCTCCTCTTTGTGTCGAATTGTGTCCTCTCCCTTAATAATTTATTCGATCTCCACTTCACCTGCGATCCCGACAAACCCTTCACTCTCCTAGTTACGTCTCTCTCAACCATCACCATCACTTTCACGTTCTCCTAGTACACCTACCACAAATTTCCTACTTAAAAAAATAATAAATATATGTCCTCTTCTCCCTCTCTGCCTACGGTTTACCGGGCAGTTCTATTTGACGATATATATATATAGAGAGAGAGAGAGATACAGATAGATAGATAGATAGATAG